CAAATTATCCAGGTGAGCATTTTCTCTCAGGTTTTGCGTGGAGTTGCCACTGAAAGCAACCATTGTGAAGTGCGGGGGTGGCACGGATCACTGAGCCACAGTGGGATTAACCACGAAGATTTGAACTGCTAAAGGTGTACACAATATGCTGTGGTGTGTTTTCTAGTCTTGCGCAACCCATGTGTGACTCAAATCATGTCCATGTAAAGAATACAGTTGTTGCTGGACATGATTGTTGTATTGTGTACCATTATAAATAAATCCCCCTGCTACTACATGTGGGTGTTAAATTGATTAAATTTTGTACACCTTGTATTCATACATTCATTATTTGCTATATTCACCAATAAGACAAGTAAAATAAGTTAAAATTAAATCGAAATAAAATTCATAAATCGGTTGTTTCATTTCATTAAATAATTACATCATTCTGATATTCCTTTGTTTTATTTAATAAAATATTTATAAATGTTTTTTCAAATTTCATATGATGGTTGAAAACTAATTAACCAATCACAAAGCCTTAGTTGAAAACTAATTAACCAATCACAAAGACTTAGTTGATGCCTACAACGTGTATGTAATATTTTGCATGCATATCTGTAGTAGTAAATGAAAGCATATCCCATTAAAAAAGTTCATGCCTTTACCAATTTTACTCTATACTGAACAAATTTGTAACTTCTGTAAACTATTGCTTCACTTACTAGAAATGGTTTCTCTGGTCTGAATGCATGGTCGTTTATTCTTGGTTACCGGTAGTATTTTTTGCTATAACCATAATCATGAATGCTCTAATTTGTAATTTTGTTTACAACGCTTGCAAGTTGTGACAGTGACATCATCATACAGTTGCCCTCTTGATTTGGGTGGGTCCTTTTTTTACGCCCAATTTCTTTGTCTGTGTTTTCAATTAAATTCAAAAGGGGTGTTCTGTCAGTGTTTTCATCCAAGCTCAGCAGCCGTGTTAGGACTAGGTAGTTGTTGTTTGACCATTGCACTTCTCTTCACAATTTGAATCAAATCTGTACTTGACACATGAATCTAAATAAGCCCATCCCCTTTCACTTTTAGGAATATTGATGCATTGTGATGGGTCTCTATAATAACACAAACTATTATATCTCACTACAGCCACCTGTTGAATTGTCACTCACTAGATATATACACATGGACATTCATTCATTCATTCATTCATTCATTCATTCATTTATTCATTCATTCATTCATGTGTCACTAAGCATTGTGAGATGTGATTATTACTTTATTCATGAAGTTGTTCAATTCAGACAAACACTTATGTAAAAAAATAGAATAGTAACGGACATATATTTATAACTGCCATGGCAGTGAAATAATTAGTAAGGTCTTTGTTCAGATAATGAACTTCCTTGGGATTTGCATGCAACAAATCACTGAAGTTACAAAGAAGTAACAGTCGGTTCTCAAACAATATCTACGTCTGCATGTATTGAACAGCATTCTGATTGCATCAGATCTATTTTTAGAAGAACTCCCACACTGAACTTGTGGCAAATTCATTTAACCGTAGTCAAATCAGAGGAATATATATAAACCAGAATCAGTGCGCTGCGCATATGGGTCTCAGATTAATAAAAAAAAGAGACTTTGATTGTTTCGCAGATCAACATGCTATCAAGGTTTACTCAGTGGTTGTAACGCATCAATGGTCTCTAATGAGTTAGTACACATCTCATTCATGCTAGCCGCTGAGGGAGTGAATTGCATTGTGGAAAATATCACTGTTTATCTGCACAAATCTCGCATATGTGTGTCATAATGATCCTGCACCAGCTTTCATGATGACCACCAACTTTTAAGGACATACTGACAAATTTATTCTTCTGCTAACACTAACAAATTTCCTGGGGGTGATCGATGCTTGCTTTGTAAAACCTATGTATATATTTAAAATATATTTATTTTCCCTATTATTGCATTGCTTGTTTGTTGTAGATTTGTTGGGGAGGGGGGTCACTTGACTCTATGCTGTGAAAATATTGTAAAAGCATTTATTTTCACTAGTATTGAACTATATTGATATTGTATCATATTTACTAGGTTTCCAAATTCATGGGTTTTCAGCAAAAAAAAATGAGTTCTACAGTAATTTTACATGGTCATATAGAATTAATTTAGTGATATTAAAATCAAGTGAATAAATTATGCATTTACTGTTTTTGTTAAACATATTTGCTTTACTAGAAGCCAATCGCTATCAGAGGCACATATAAGCAAATATTGCATTAATGTATTCATTGAAATATGATATTTCATACAAGGTAGCTATAGGCTATGTCATTTACACAAGTGCATGCGTTACTATTACAGCAAACACAGTATAGGTAAATCGTCCAAATTTAGCACTTGTACCTTGAGGAAAGTACAATAGAAGCTCACTGACATTGTAGTTTATTTCTTTAGCCAGGCATTGTTAATATACTCAATGTGCCCTGGGAAACACACTTGAACTGAATAGACACAAAAATAGATAGGTCTATTCTATTATTATCACAGGGAAGTAGGGTGATAAATTGGTGAGTAAAATTAGAAGTGTATTGGACAATAAGAATTTGTATAAGATGATGACAAAACTTTATAAAAGATATAATGGAATAAGAAATTAAAAATCAAAGAGTAATGGACTCACTATAATAGCAATACTACCATAGATAATGTATTGTCAATATAATGCAATACTGGAAAAGACTTTATTTTCACTATTTTTGCTGAAGGGGTGATTTATTGAAAATCAAATCCAACAAATATTTCTTTTTTCCTATATTTTACATCAACTCATCAAAAATCAGTGAAAATAAATTCTGTACAAAACACCCAAAAATGTCTTTTCAGTGAAAATTAATTTCAGCTGAAAGAAAGTACAGTATCAGCAAAGTATTGTATTGACAATACAGCCAAAAACATGATACCAGGAATTAATAAAAACTTTTACATATTTAATAACAATTAACCAGGAATTTTTAAAATTACAAAATATTTTTATATTTTTCATAAATCCAATCTGATGTTATTATAATTGTTTTATAAATTACCTTAAATTATTATTATTGAGATATTGATTATTTCAATGTAGCATGTAAGTTTGATAGATTTTTATGTATTTTTCTATAATATCTCTGTTGTTTTTAGATCAACTGCACATACTTTCCCATTGGCTGCTGATTTTAATAAAAATATATGGATTTATTTTGTGAAGAACAAAAATTGAATATCTGTAGCCAATGCAAGATTATGTCCATTTGGTCCTAAATTAAGAAAGAAATTATAGGAAAATATAAAAAAAAATAAGTAAAATATTGCACCAAAGAGTCAAACTTTGTGTCCTTTGTGAAAAATATATAACATCCTTTTTAATATTCAAGCAGGAAATGGTCTTGAATAATTCTGCCTTGTGACAACTTTACTGACAGCATGAATGGGTTTTTGGTTGAAATGAAATCGTGACTGTAAAGAATTAGTACAATATGTCATAGACACCTGGTAGTTGAGCCAAGGGCGCAATAAACTGTAGTACTAATTAAAACACCAATGTGATCACAGGAAATGTATAACATTTATCACACATTTCTGTGACTTTTTACATAAATGGTATAAAAGTTTATTGTGTGACTGTTAACAAAGGGTTTGATATTATGATTGGGTTGCTACAAACATGATGAGTCATTCATTGTAGAATGTGTTGAGCATTATAAAAGTGTCATTACCGTAGCTCAGATTTTATAGATATTTGATTCAAATTTGAATCAATAAATAATGAGAATAAACATATTCACAAACAAAATTGTTTGTTGTCAATACAACTATATCACAAACAATAATTCAGTCTTTTCTGGGTCAGGGTCTTTTGCGTATTGTGCTGAAACTTCAATTGTTACCCGATGTGCTGAAAAAACAGGATGGAAAATCTCATTTATATGTTTATAACTTCACAAAGAAAAGACAACTTTGAAAGTAATTGTTAAATGAATGTTGACAAATATTTCTTTATTACTCTGTACGTACCATTGCAGTCTCATGAGCTGGTCTGCTCGTGCATGAATCATTTATTTCACCCACTGAACATCCAATCAGTACAAGGACACTATATTACAGTATTTGCTTATCCACTAATGTAACAATAATCAACCGAATATCTTAAGATTAAAGACGATGTCCAAATTCCTGAGAATTTTAGTCATCTGTGGTGTGAGCGTTGACTGTGCTGAGAAAAAAATGTGTTTATCCCCCAGAGAGAACTGCATTCAATCTTTGTCAGTTTTTTGAGCATAAGTGCATGATGTATTTTTTATAGACTTGTTAAGTCATATAATAAAAGTAATTTATTCAATATATACCTGGAGCATAAATTTACCACTGTGCAAAAACGCTCAAGTAGTTGTAAAAAAAAAAATTTCAACAATATATGCTTCCCGGAGAAAGCATATGTGCAGTACAGTTTTGTTATGGAAAATCTATGATTTGTGTAATGTTCATGTGTAATTAATTACAAAATCAGGTAGGAACACATGGGCAAAAAGAGCAAAAAAAGGGGAAAAATTGTGTTTCTATTAACATAGGTTTAAGTATAAATAGTATATCTAACTCATCAACATAAAGAATTTATGAAAATAAACCAAACTTTTTTTTTGTAACATTGAAGTTTGTGACATTCCAATACTTAATAATCAATAATTGTTGCCTCGCTATACCTAAGCAGGATTACAGGATTAATACCTGGTAGTTAGGATTTACATGACATAGTTTAATTCCACATCAACATAAAACAATTTTTCAGAAAATAAACTAAACTGTGTTAGTTCATAACATTGATGTTTCTTACATTCCAATACTTAAAAATCAGTAATTGTTGCCAAACGATAATTAAGCCGAATTACGAGGTTAGTACCCAGTATTTGAGATTTACATAACATATTTTATTCCACCGGAATCTAAGACAATTTATCTTCTCCTTGTTTCAGTTCAAGCTCAGCAGCAATTCCAACCTGAACCATATCTAATATTTGCAAATAGTTTTGATATCAGGAAGTTGAATTTTGATGGCACCAATTATAGAAGACTTGTTGAAGGCTTACTGAATGTGGTGGCATTGGATTATGATTATGCATCTGGGTATATATATTGGAGTGATCACTTGACAAGGAAAATACAGAGGTGAAGTGTGAATGAATGTTAAACAAAGTTGATGTGATTTTATGTATTTATATATTGTGTAAACAAACAATGTCTTTTACGTTAATTGCACAGAACTAAGATCGAACACAACTTGATGCTATGACTATATCTATATAGCATAGATTAATGTTACTGATCTTATCTTACTGAGTACTTAGTGGGTGATATTTCTATTGTGGTTCGGAATTGGATAATTTTCAAACCATGAGCTGTCTGTCCCTCTTGGAGCTCTTTTTATACCCCCCCACCCGTAACACTAACCCTACCCCTACCCTATAGCGCTCCCCAATTTAATTGTACATGACCCTCCTAGGGAAAACTGTAGTTATCTAGAGGAGGCATACTAGTACACAAGTGAATTGGGTTAGAATTAGAGTTAGAAGGAGAGGGGTTACAAAAAATACTCTTGCCTCCCTCTTCACCCAACACTATGACTCACTGTAAGATTCTGATGAAATTCACTGCAACAAAATTTCACAGCATTCCATGAAAAATGTTTTTTCGTCTTTGGTAAATCAAACTGCTTAGAATATCGCTATGCCTCTTGATGATAATTACTTATAACATTTTTATTTTCAGAGCTGAAATTGACAATGCACAAAATACTGTTGAGGATTTTGTAGTAGATGATATAGAAGTACCTGATGGAATAGCAGTTGATTGGAAAAATAGAAAATTATTTTTTACTGATCGCAGTAAGTTGTCTATTGTATGACTTATATTATGAAATTATGACTTAATAGTGTAAAATGACTAATTTTCACTGGGTTTAAATTTCACTGATTTACCATTTCAGGCATATTCAGTGGGTTTTAAATTCACGGTTTCGTTATTTAGATAATGTGTTCTATGCTAAATTTTACATATTCACTGTGTTTTAATTTAGCGCATTTTTCCAGTCAGCGAAATAAGCTAAATTAAAACACAGTGAATAATTACCCCTTTTACAGTAGTTGATCAATAAAAACAAAAGTTTTAATTTTTTAGTATGAGGGCGCTATATACCCTGTTACTAGTATATAAATATTTCTCTCTGATTTCCAGTAAGATCTGTTATAGAAAAGATTGGATTGGATGGCACCAATCGGATTGTTTTAATTACAACCAATATCTATGAACCTAGGGGAATTGCTTTGGACCCCCACAGTGACTGGTTTTATTTCACTGATGTATATGACGCACAACCAACTATTCAGAAAGCAAGAATGTCTGATGGTTCTCAGCAGACGACCATAATCAGTACTGGATTAGCAAAACCCAATGCTATCACGGTGGATTACATTGACAGGGTAAGGAATATAATTGCATTTCAGTGTTTAAATTAGCAAAACCCAATGCTATCACGTTGGATTACATTGATAGGGTAAGGAATATAATTGCATTTCAGTGTTTAAATTAGCAAAACCCAATGCTATCACGGTGGATTACATTGATAGGGTAAGGAATATGTTTAAATTAGCTAAACCCAGCTGTGCAGAGCTAAGCGTTTGTTAAATTTATGTTGTTTATCTGCTGACCTCATTTGAATGGAGTGTCGTTGTGATTTGCATAAACTGAGTGATATATTGAATTGCACTTGACCATTTCTTATCTAATTATGAAAGAGGGCAATGTTGAATTTTACCCTTGCCCTGTATTTATGTGGAAATAGACTTATTTTCAATTAACAATAGGGCATTGTAATAGCAAATATTTTACATGTATGTAGTGACTGGTTGGTGAAAACTGAAAGATGTTGTCCACTATTTTTATTGAATATGTGTGTGTTCCTGTTACGAAATTAAAACAACTTTGGCAGAACAGATTGAGACTTTTGTTGATCAGTGGGTGATATTTGTTAACAGGCATTCGCATGTTGAATGACAAAAATTTAAACAAATGACATCACAGTACCTATACTTCAAGCATTTTATTTCATATACTTCTCAAACAAAATAAATATTCTTCTGGCAAAAAATAAGTATACATGTATTTAATTATACTTAGTAGGTAATTTTGTTATAATAATCTGAAACTTTTTTTACGGGTATATTCTACAGTTCTGTGATGAGTTTTAATTTTGTCTTTTCAGATGATATATTGGGCAGATGCGACGACCGACAAAGTGGAGAGTTGTGATTTGAACGGCAATGCTAGACAGGTGTTGGTAGATAATCCGAGTACCTTTCATCCTTATGGATTGACGCAGTATGACGATCGCATCTACTGGACAGATCAACAACTACACCATATCGTGAATTTGAATAAACATGATAAGAATGATAAGGTGATCATTACAGGTTATTTTAGCTATCCGACGGCTATACACGTGGTACACCCTGACAGACAACTCGGAACAGGTGAGCAGTTTTGTTGCATTGCATGTTAAACAACCTGTCATTGCACAGTGTGTATTTTTTTGTGTGTGTAAATGAAATATGCATTTTGTACATGGCATACATGGCACACATATCTAACAAGTATGGCTTTCTGTACGTTGTATACACCAAAGTCGGGAGAGGCAGGTACCTTATAAACTGGTTTGAGCTCATGCAGTGATGTAGGTTGTTCCAATACAACACATGAGAGAGGCACTTCCTATCCAATCTAATTGTTTCATTTGGATTTGAATGAGACTTATTTAAAATGAAAAAAGTTGGGTTTATAAATTGTCATAAACATGCCTTACCTGACTGTTGTACATATATAAGAATAAGACGATCAAGTGACCATAATTCAGAATTAATAATTTGAATGCTGTCTTGATGGAGCTTCTAAAACCAGAAATTCTATGAGAAACTACTGTAAACACACTAATTATTCACTAGGTTTATTAGACACTCACTCTGTTTTTAGTCCCCATTCTTACGCAGTCCGAATACATGGACTTATGGATTGACTTCTGTGCGTCAGTGCATCCAAACCTATATCTTAGACATGCCTGGGTCGAATACATTCAAACCTCACATATACATCATACATGTACATACATATTGTTTCACGATCAGATTCAAGATGGCTGAATGGTGGCCATTTTTGTGCAAAAAATCATCAAAATCAAGCATTTATGGATAGATTTTGTTCAAACTTGGTACATACGTTGAACATTATGAGACTTTGATGGCCGTCATTTCAGATCGGATTCAAAATGGCTGACTGGTGGCCATTTTGTTTTAATGATTGCACTTCTTGGGCCATATCTCTGACATGCTTTGATTGATTATGTTCAAATTTGATATATTCATTATACATCATGACATAGATATATTGGTTTGACTATCTAATTCAAAATGGCCAATTGGCGACCATTTTTGTGCTAAAAAATCATAATTTTTTTATATATTCATTATACATAATGTTATAGATATATAGATGTATTCAAATTGGCTGACCGGTGGCCATTTTGTTTTAATTAATGCTGTTCCAGAGCAATATCCCTCAATATGGACAAGTACTCGTTTGACGATAAGATACAAGATGTCAATCATTTTAATGTTAAAAAATCATCAAACTATATATCTTAAATTTGATAACTAACAGGAACTATGCCATGCATGGCTTGTTTTTTCAGAAATTGATTCCTGTCAGCATAATGATGGCCGTGGTGAATGTGATCATATATGTATTGATTTGTACGGTTCGTATATGTGTGCTTGTAGACAAGGATATCATCTACAGACAGATGAACACACATGTGACGGTAAGTATACCTAGTGTATGTAGTGTAGAAACATGTCTATCATAGATCACAATATATATCATGATGAGAAATGTAATAATGGTGCCAAATTTGCATAATTTACCATTAGTGACTGGTGAAATTGACAGAAGCTCATCTTTAATATTACCATTGTGTATTTTATTTGTCAGATACGAATGAATGCAGTATTAACAATGGCGGATGTAGTCATCACTGTCTGAACATAGAGAGTAGTTTCTTCTGTACTTGTATTAATGGGTATACATTACAAGCAGATCAAAGAACATGTAGAGGTGAGTACTTTCAGATTCAGAATATTGGGATTCACTTGAAATTTAAGGGATTCAATGGATTTACTTAGAATTTTAGGAATTTAATTGATTGACTCAGACTGGCATACAGTCATTTTTTGTTTTTTTGGTGAAAGCTGAGTTACCGTCTACACACACTGAACACCATACTGATGACAATCATTCCTGGTGTCGCAAATAGTGTCACAAGTCTCAGCTTTCACAGCATTTGTACAGTCTTGATTTGGAATTTCAGGGATTCAAAGTATATTTTGTGATATGTGGAATTTGATTTAGATTCACTTGGAAATTGAGAGATACACTTGGGATGTAATTGGGACTTAGAATTTGAGTTGCAATGGATTTACCAGGAATTAACTTATCAATTGGGAGGTTTGCTTGAGATTCACTTGGAGTACGAGTGATTCGATTTGGATTCAATGGAATCACTTGGAGTTTGAGGGATTTGATTGGGATTCAATGGAATCACTTGGGGGTTGAGGGAATTGTTTGCAATTAAGAGGATTCACTATTGATATTTTTGGTGTCTGCCTTGTACTTATCTCAGTTGTGTAAATTGCTAGTAATTAATGTCTTCATTGATTAGCCAATTAGAGCAAGAGGAACTGCGAAAATGGAAACCAGTAAGACAAACAGATATGGAATATCAAAAATATTGCTAAATGAATTTGTGTTTTTCAGATACCAATGAATGTCACATCAGTAACGGTGGTTGCCAATTTAGTTGTCATAACACCGACTCGTCGTATTACTGTTCCTGCCCGTCCGGGTACACTTTGGAAAGCAATAAAATCACATGTCATGACATAGATGAATGCGTAACAGGAAGTAATCCATGCCCATCAAACGCTCTCTGCCAGAATGTGCCTGGATCATATCAGTGCATTTGTGGGAGCGGGTTTCATTTCAATAAAGTCACTAGGCAGTGTGAGGATACAAACGAATGTACAAGTGCCAATAATATGTGTTCTCAGCGATGTGTCAACACCGGTGGTTCGTTCAGGTAGGTAACATTATCAAAATGTTTCCTATAACTTGTACCAATTTTATTACAATCAAATGCAAATTAATTTACTCACTGTCAAGCACTTTTATTTCACAAGCTAAAATTCACAGTGAGACAGTGAGTACAAAAATAAAATCTCATAAATTCCCTCAAGTTATCCGTAAATTGATAGCAGAAAATAACGGTTTACAACAAATTGCGTATTTACCATATTTTTAGCTCTGCTGTCGACTCTGTTGAGCAGAGCTTATCATATGAGTGATTGTCCATCGTCGTCGTCCATGTCAACTTTTTACTTTTTCGACTTCTTCTTGAAAACTACAAGCCTGAATGCTTTGATACTTGGTGTACCGGGGGTATATGTACCTTGATATCTTCAATTCTCTAATTTTAATAAATATTTTTGTCTTTTTTGGAAAAAGCGTATTTTCAAATTCTTGTTGAAAACAGCAAATTTGATTGCTTTGATGCTACATTTTCCATGGATATCTTCAGTTCTTTAATTGTAATGTGCATAGCTAACAGCGGAACTATCTCAGCCGACAGACTGCTTGTTTTTATTAGAAATGCATCTCTAATAGTTGCACACATAAATAGCAAAAAAAGGCTTTTTGTGTATGGATGATTATTAAAATATAACTTATTATTTTGACCATAGAGCATACCATATGTAAGTGCATATGCTACAAAATAGAGCAAATAAATATAGTATGTTATTGTCTTTGCAACATAATCATTATTATTCAGTTTTACATTGCCCATAATGAAAATATAGTGGTGAGGTACACAACAGTTTTGGGGTAACTTAACTTTCAAGCTGGCTGTCAGCTGGATTTGGCTTTTTTATAAATTTTAAAGTGAGTATTATTGTCGTCATAAATTCAACATATTCTTTGTGGTATTATCCGTGTTATTCATATGAGACATATTTATGTAGATTACACAATTTAGATATGTGGAAAATTTAAAAACATGCTAACCTTGTTTTAAGCCAGCTTAATGTTAAGTTATGCTCAGATTATACTGTATAGCAGTTACTATGTCTGTCGTAGTTGTTGTTGTTGTCGTTGTTAACATACTCTTGTTTAATTTCAGATGTGAATGTAACATTGGATATACATTACAAGAAGATGGTAGTACCTGCATTGATATCAATGAATGTAATGTAGCAAATGATTGTCAGCAGCAATGTACAAACATACTAGGTAATCACATCTCACAACTTCTTATTTATACTGAATATTTCAGATTTAATTTTTCTGCACAAGATCTTTGAAAGTAATTTTAATGGAGGGAGAGATTCACTGTATATGAGGGAGTTGATCAGTATTGCCATCTTTATTAAAACACAAATTTTCACTGCTAGGAATTTTTGTGAGGTTTATGGCACAGGTAGGACAACATTGGTTGGTCCGACTGTTAGTAGTTAAGGTTGAGTAGCCAATCAGACACAGTCTTGTATGTAGCTTTGCATTGACTATGAGTGTACTGAAAATGCACCAGCATTCATTCTCATGGCAACAAATAATATTTGAAAACTTGTCTGGTGTTTATTCCATAAATATTGCTGATAGTAACCAACTAACTCAATGACATTTTTTGGTGGCGTTCATAGATCAGTCAAGGATTCATCAACAACTAAATATTTCAATTTCACTGGAGTCCTATAGAGTCACAGTGACTTTCACTGGGATCCTATGGAGTCACAGTCTCTTTCACTGGTGTCCTAGGGAGTCACATTGACTTTCACTTAGGTCCTAGGGAGTCACAGTGACTTTCACTGGGATCCTAGGGAGTCACATTGACTTTCACTGGAATCCTAGGGAGTCACAGTCTCTTTCACTGGGGTCCTAGGGAGTCACAATGATTTTCAATGGGGTCCTAGAGAGTCAGAATGACTTTCACTGGGTTCCTAGAGATTCACAGCGACTTTCACTGGAATCCTATGGAGAGTTCAGTCTTCACAAAATGACTTTAAATTATCGTTTGAAGGTTCCTATGTGTGTTCCTGTACGGTTGGTAGTATACTGAATGCTGATGGGAAAAGCTGTCGTCCTACAACATGTCAACCCCCACCACCCAGGCCAGGATTCACAATAACGTGCCAAGAAACATCTCACTTGTATCTCAGTAGGTGTGATATTGATTGTGATCTAGGTAAGTTTCAATGAGTGAAATTTCTAGTATTGTTTAATATCAAAATACCCATTTTAATTTCTTGGCTGGTTGATTTCCAGGCTTGATAGTAACACTGTGTTTTCTTTGAAAAACTTGCTGATGTGGCTGATGAAAGAAAGGAATATGAAAGAAAAATTACAAAATAATAAACTTGATCACACAGCTCTGTAGAATGCATTATATCTTGTTAACCAGGTGCTGCAAAGCATCCTCTTTCAGAGGACTCAGTACATATTTTAATTTTGGTGTTAGTTTAATTTTGAACGGAATCACACAACGTTAGAAATTTGAAATAATTTTTGTCTCCAGATGCTGGGAGTTATTTGGAAATTGATTAGATGTATAAAAATTTTAACTTATGATATTTCATACTTTTTACTTTATTTTTAATTTAGGCACTTTGGTTGGCTCTAATTCCATCACATGTCTATCTAACAGCGAGTGGAGCATACTGACGGCTGAGTGCATCGGTATAAGCGGCAAAACTGAAAATGATCCACCAATTGCCACATACCTGACGTCTAACGTAATTCCTGAAGATGCTGATAATGGTGATATTGTTGGTTATTTGCGCAGCATCGACTCAGACCCAATGCAGACATTTACTTATTTTCTGCGTGATGATGCTGACCCGTTCTATATCGGAAGCCATGACACGCTCAGGACACGTGGGATGCTAGACTTTGAGACCATGACCCAGTACACTGTTTCAATTCTGGCGACTGATGACGGTATCCCACCAGAGTCGCTGATTTCTAGCCTCATAGTTTACGTGATCAACGTCAATGAACCACCGGGTCAGCCCATGTGGCAGCAAACAACGATCAGTGAAAATGCAAATGTTGGTGACGTAGTGACGTTGTTGAATGCACTAGATCCCGATGAAGGGCAGCAGTTAAACTTCACTTTGATCACCAACTCCAACGGGAAATTCTCCATGGTCAATAATGCCTTGGTTGTCAACAGACCGCTTGATTACGAAACAAACAGACATCACCAAATACACATACAAGTACGTGATAATGGAATGCCCATCCAAACAAACAGCGCAGTCTTTGAACTTGACATCATTGACGAGAATGAACCGCCTCTGAAAATAAACTTCATAGGAAGCGATGTTCCTGAATTTACAGCTGGTGGCGACACTGTGACCGGTAAAGTGATTGGTCGGTTTGAAACTGAAGATCCAGACCAGGGGGATACGCACACATACTCTTTAGACACACTAAACGCTTGTTTCGATATACAGGGGTCTGATTTACTTGTTGGCAATGTGGATTGTTTCAATTATGAAACTCATCCCTTTTATTTACTCTCCGTACAAGCGTCAGACTCTGGTGGCTTGAGTGTTAGAACCACCATAAGGATTGGTATCATTGATGTAAATGAGCCGCCAACAGGTGTGACACTATCGACAAATACGATAATGGAGCACGTACCTCTGAACACAGTAGTGGGTACGCTGACAGCTTTAGATGAAGATACTGCTGATACACATATATTTACACTCCTCAACAGCAATGGTTTATTTGCCATTGAGGGTAGGTATACCAAAACATACCATATTTGCTCTATCCCAAATGCATTTATTGCATGTATACTGGTTAATTAAAATATAATTGTCCTGAGAACCATTGTATTTTTAATTCTAAATTGTTGACAAAACCACTGTTTTAATATAATAATAATAATGAATTTATTGCATCCTAAGAAATAATTTCCATTGGTTGAACAGCAATAAAATGTTAATGACCCCAGTAGTTAGTAATAATAATAATAATAATAATAATAATCTTTATTGCATAATCATATCCTTATTTGGATATTGATTCAGAAAAAGGAAATTACAATAAAGATGAAAAACTGAGAAAGTAACAAAATGGAAGCGCTAAAATTGAAAAGAATAATAAAAAAAAGAAAAGAAATAGTTTATTTATTTAGGGGCAGCTGGTAATTTTTTGAAATGATTTTCTCTGGCACTAAAACAATTATAGATGTAGCTTGCTAGTTTTGTTATTTTTTGGCTGTTATTGCTTTTTAGCATTGTAATCAATTTATTGGTTTTTTATTTATTGGCTTGCATTCAAGTAAGAAATGTATTTCGTCTTCAATCTTCACTTTCTACCACTGCAAGGAATTTTTGTGTATCGTCCTTTCTCTATTTCTAAATTATGCGCGCTAATTCTCAATTTTTTTAACGCTGCTGTTTTTTGCATTTGTTATTGTTAGATATTTTTCATACTGGCAATTTTTTCTTTAGCAGTCCATATGTACGCTGTATATACAGCTACAAAATTGAGTGATTTTTCCTCGAAGTTCACAAAAACAATTTTTTTGTTAAATTTAAGTAGTTTACAGTATATTTTATTCCCAAAACAGCTAACAATTCCTTACATATTACTTACAGGTCATACAGTTAAAGTTGCTGCCGATCTGAATTACGAAACTTTTCCAACTGGTGTTGGGTTTGAGGTTCGTTGTATCGACAGTGACAGTAACTCTATCACTGTGTCAATGATGGTATTTCTGGGAAATGAAAATGAAGAACCAAATGATATCAGTGTGGTGATCAATAAACCGTGTAGTTTTGGTATGTACAACTCTGTGTTTATGTAGTCAGCTGACATACATGGTAATACAATACATGCAATGAATTTTACAATAGATACATTTTGGGAGCAGCCATTTTGAATCCTTGCTTCAAAAATCATAAAAAAAAGAAAAGTTATGATATGCTGTTTTTAATTCTCACCAAATTGATAAAAATTCAAAACAATCTGTTAAGGTAACTTTTCTACATCAAAATCAATCATGTAATTCTATCGAATTCACTAGCAAAGTCCCTATGAGTGTATCTTCATCATTTAGAAAATTTGTCTGGTTATTTGAAAAACTGAAATCGTCAATGAGTTCATGAAACTTTCAGCAATGGCTTACACAGTTGCTTCTGAGTTCACATACATTGTTGAGAAACTAGAATGAGCGAGTTGTTGCTGGATTCAAGAAGCAAATATCATGCAACAGACACAACCTGACATGAACAATAATTCACTTGATTACTTTTAGTATTTCTAAAAATATACTTCTATCTATTCTTGTAATCAATATTGGAATCTTCATTGCATTCCATCACATTCACAAAATAAATCGCACATAATAATTTTGTTTAATTGCTCCAAAGTTTTCATCAAGACCTATTGCCAATAGAGAATGATGTATTTGGTCCAAAATAACCCAAAAAAATCATAAAATATATAAAAATAGATAAAATGTGGCACTAAAATAATGGCAGGCAAAAATATGGCATCTTTCAGCGTTAAACTTTCTTTGGTCAAACTAATTTTGAGAATTTACTATTTAAAATAAAATATGAAATAAAATAGAATTTCAAAGACTAACATTTTGATGCTCAGGACTATGTGGTTTGAATGATGGAATGATAAGATGATGAGATTTTGTTTTCCAAATACATATTACAGGTCATGTTGGTCCAAATGGTGTTATCATTGATGCCTGTATTCCTGAAACAACAGCTCCAAATGACCTTGTAGCATTGGTTGCCGCTAGCGACCCTGATGGGGATACTTTGTCCATCACTATGATAGACAGCAGTGGAAAATTTATGCTAACTGGTAGGTATTGTGGGTATGCCAGGTTGGTATAGAGAGTATGGTTGATTATACCATTGTGGGTATGGTAAGCACAGTGACTATGGTTTGGGATTTTCTTGTAGTTGCGCAATCACTCTGCTACCAAGGTTGTTTCAACTGATAGAAGCAAGTTAATTATAAATGATTTGAAATTTAGAACAAAATAACCTGACTTTAGCGCTTTAATAATCCTATATTCTCTCCCATCTAGATAATTTGCGAATTCAACTTGGTCCTGAAAAGTTGAATTACGAATCCGATTCTTATGGTCACATCTTTCAAGTTACACTCATATCCAGTGATCCAAATGGTCTGACTAAAGAAAAGGACCTATATTTTGAGGTAAATATTCACTAAAACAAGTAAGTCTTTTTAATGTTAAAACTAGTGTTTGCGAATTTCTTGAGCCAGGGAAACATTGAAATTTTTGGTAAAAAGTGATATTTTCGACTTCTTGTTAAAAACCAAAAATTCAATTGCTTTGCTATTACATATATAGATACTACATGTAGACCTTTCTCAGATTTGTTCATTTCGTGATGATATCTTCAATTCTCTAATTTTGGTGAATATTTTTGTCATTTTTGGTAGAAAGTGATATTTTCGACTTCTTGTTAAAAACTGTAAGTCTGTTTGCTTTGATACTATACATATTGTTCATTTTCTAATGATGTCTTCAGTTCTTTAATTGAAATGTGCATTGCTAACAGCGGGGCTATCTCAGCCGATAGGCTGCTTGTTAACATTGTAAAAAGGACAGACATGTAACAATAATCAATGTAAACATGGGCGGTTGTGTCTGTAAGAAAACAATCAAAAATAATTTTATAACGCCATTTATTCTGTAATTAACGCACTAGAAATGACACAAGAGACTGATATGCGAGAAAAAGTAGGGGGATCGAGAGCCTCAGCGTACAAGCGTCTTAGCCGTCTATTCCATGATATTGGTCGCCTTTGACCAACATCATGGCAAGGACGACGTGGTACTTGAGTGAGGGCGCCACCTAAGGGTACTCTGTGTGTAGGCGTCATTGAGGCCTATGTCCCGCGGCGAGTTGTAACTTTCAACTCATCTCGGGGCAAGTGCGACGTGTTGCCCAAACAGAGTATGGATTCCCTGTGTGACAATCCACCCCCCCCTAGCTGTATTTATTGATAAATAACCAAAACATGAAAAAAGTACAGAGGAAAAAAAACAAAATAAAGAAGCAGACTGTAATGATGGGAGGGTGGGAGGTAACTTGAACGATGCTCACTGTATGAAAGCAGGAACTGAATGATGAGATGAGAGTAGCCAAGACTAAGGGACGCCGTGGATGCACTAACGTGATTGGCTAAGATGGCAAAATGTAAACACATGATGGTTCATGGGATACTAACTAAAATAGCACAAACTGGGGAATGATCTATAAAGTAAATACGAGTTACATAATCAAGGGTGGAAGTGAGCTAGCTGACTGATAAAGGTCAATGGAGTGGGAGACAAAGAGTGCACATTTCAGTGCGTTAACATACAATTACAAATGTTTTGTAATAGTCACATTAATGCACTAGAAATGACACAAGAGATTGATATGCGAGAAAAAGTAGGGGGATCGAGAGCCTCAGCGTACAAGCGTCTTAGCCGTCTATTCCATGATATTGGTCGCCTTTGACCAACATCATGGCAAGGACGACGTGGTACTTGAGTGAGGGCCACCTAAGGGTACTCTGTGTGTAGGCGTCATTGAGGCCTATGTCCCACGGCGAGTTGTAACTTT